CATGATGGTGCAAAGACTCTATTGTTGTGCCTCCTGTCATGGCTGCCATCACATGATGGTGCAAAGACTCTATTGTTGTGCCTCCTGTCATGGCTACCATCACATGATGGTGCAAAGCCTCTACTTGTACAATTAACAACATTGGATACCACAGGGGAATCACAAAGGGAAACAAAAGAACGATACACCACCCATACTGTTAGGGGAGGGGTAAGTCTTCAGTGGTACCTACCATTTCTATATCACCATCAACTATAGTACGCAAGAAAGCATAGACCTGACAAGAAATAACAAGGTTACATTAATACAGCTGTTGGTAATATTAATGATAAATAATAATGATGATAATAATAATTACAATGAAAATGATGATGATGATAATAATAATAATGCTTTATTTGAAAAGCGGACTTTCCAAAAATACCCAATTGCGCTGTACAATGTATATGATACATGTGTATATAAATAATATGAGAAAAGAAAATCGATACATATCTAAAAAGTAGTCAATATGTTAATGATAAGTCAAATTGAAAAGATGCATCTTAAGATTACATTTAGCCTGCGTAGCGGCCAAAAGGGAAAGGAATTGGGGACTGGGGAAGGAGGGGAGGGGAGGGGGAACTGGAAAGAGGAAGGAGAAGGGGACTGGGGAGAGAAAGGGAGGAAAGGTAGGGCCTGCAATGAACCCCCTCGATTTTTCCTACGAACGTTCAGAATCCGAACGTTAATTTTGATTGGTTGATAAGTTCGATACACCAATCAGATGTCAGTGGAGTTGATACAGATACTTTATTCTTTGATTTGATTGGTTGAGAGTTTGCATATTAATTAGGGGGCGGTAGGAAAATCCCTTCCTCTCCCGAGTCCCCCTCCCCTCACCTACCCTTTGGGCCGCTACGCAGGCTAGATTACATTTAATCTGGACTACAAGGCTCGAAATAAGAACAAACAACTACCAAAATGCTTTTCTTGACTTTGCTAGTTTAAAAAATCTACCAGCAAATGTTTCCCGGATCTGACCTATTTTCATTAAGAAACAGAAATTCAAATGTTCACTAGTGGACAAAAGGGTTAAGTTCAAGCCATGGACTAGGACTTAAATACTAAATACACCAGCCCTCTAAGGTGTTTTGGTGTTTACCTCTTTAGATTCTTCTCTTTCCAAGGAATTCGCTGGGGAACCTGCTAAACTTGTTCTTTTTTGACGATTCGAAGGAATCTGAAGAGACTTTGATGATGTCTGTAGAATAAAGAACAAAATTAGTAACATTGTGGTTATTACTCAACACTGAGATTATCAAAAACCAGAATTCTTGTTGAGTATGTGTGTATTCACCTTTTCAGGAAGAAGATTTAAAAACCCAGTATCCTTTTCGATGTTGGAAGCAGTAACGTCAAGAAGGCTTTCACTGACCTGCAAGATACAGAACCATTGAGTTGACTCTCTTTATACGACCACTATCCTAAACAACCACTTCCTATCCACCTTCTCAAATGACCTTTTTTTTTCTCACATAAACGCTGTTTTAAAAAAATTTCTAGTAAGCGACCACTCACGTAAGTCACAACCTTCCTTAAGCGACCACCTTCTCAAATTACCATTTTATTTCTCATAAAAACACTGTTTTTTTGAAAATCTCTAGTAAGCGACCACTCTCATAAGTGATCACCTCCCTTAAGCGACCACCTTCTCCATTTACCATTTTATTTC